GGGCCGGAAGCAAGAGGAGAGTCAGGGAGAGCAGAGGGAGTGAGAAACGAGAGAGACGCCGGAGCGAGCTAGAAAGACGAGAGAGAGCAGGGGGAGAGAGAGAGAAGCAGAGAGACGAGAGAGGGGGAGAGAGAAAGAGAGAGAGAACAGAGGGGGCGCGAGAGAGAGAGAGAGAGAGAGGGGGAGAGGAAAGAGAGAGAGAGAGGGGGGGATGGGGGGGGGAGAGAGAGAAAAAGTTGTGCACACAACTGTTCAATGAGCACAAAGACAAAGTGGGCTAAACAATGCATGATTTGAAGACATCATCCTGACGAGAAGGATTGTGTGCCATGATGTGACAAGATATCATCTCAATGTGATTAGGTTATATTATTGACAGAATAAAAGATATAGAGGAGAAGTAGGAGAAGAAAACTGGATACACAAATGGTACTAACTAATAATCTTGCAATATTTAGATTAATGCTTACCGGCATGCGGACTTGCTCAGTGCTGTCTCTTTCCCGTAATGTTACTGTGTTTGGTGTGTTATTACAGGTATCGAAGTCAATGGTAACTCCAAAAGGAATGGCAATCTCGTCTGTTCGAGCATATCTACGACCAATGGATCCAGTAGAATCATCAATTCTTGATGAGATATTTAGTTCAGTCAGGTCATTTGCTGTTGAAACAAGTCAGAGAAATAAATATAATAAAAATGATTAAAATAAACAAATAAATAATAAAAAAAGAAAGGTGGTAAGACAATTACAACTTCCACAAAAAATTGTTAATCCAAACCAAACTATCACACCATGAGACAAGTCCTAATTCTATGATTACAATAGTACCATCAGACTATTCCTAGTTTCATTTTATCATTAAACATTTACAATAAACTAGAAGTAGTAGCATTTACCAAAGGGCAAGGACTATAACATGAGAAGAAGAGGGAATACAGTAATTAACTCACATAGCTGGACTGTGAAGGGAATAAACTCAGGCTTATTTGAGAGAGGCAGAACAGACACTTTAACAGGTGCAACAATAGGTGGCAGTGAAAAGTAGGTCCTCTTGTCATCATCTTCTCTTACTCTGGAAATAAGGAATAATATTAGATTTTATCATCCATTATTACAGTAACATTGAGTTTTCAGTTTATCTCTTAGCCATTAATGCTGGAAGTACATGCCTAAGTCTGCTGTTGACTATGGCTTCCTTTTATTAGTTTTATTAATAGCTAAAAACAAGCTTAGTCACCAATAATTACTCTATGCCTACCTGACCTCACCAATTTCCTACCATTTTTAAAATATTTGAAAGGAAAGTTTTCATTTCTATTACCATTGTTATTGTAAACATCTTTGATTCAAATGATGTGACCATCCTGTCATTAAAAAATCTGATTTGTGGGTAGGTGACATGAACATGACGTCATGAGAAAATTTAGCCGAGGGCCAGGATGACACAAATATGAGAATTTCAGCTGAAAGCTGAGGTGAAAGGAATGACTCGCCACTCGTCTAATCACTCGGAGGGTGATTAGACTCATTTGGTATATAGGGAGGGACTTTTGCAATAATATTGATACTGCCCTTGACCTATGACTAGAAGAGCACCAGCTCCAGGGACGAGGAGGAGGAGGAGGAGGAAGGGAAGGAGTGTCTATTCATTGTGACTGCCAAAGCAGGTTGTATTACAGAAAATAGAATGTGATTTTTTTTTTTTTATTGTTAATATTTGTACTCCATTATCAACTACCAAGAGAGATGATATGGAATCTGTGCTAGGAAAACAGTCTATTACCATCTGGATATAACATGAAATGACAAATATAGGCACTGGAAAATGGAAAATGGAAAAATCATGGAGAAAGAGACAAAATAACACTGGAAAGGGGATGCATGGAGAATTCCTGTGCATCCAGCCTACATGCCGCTCCCCCTGCAGAGTGGCTGTTCAAGTAAACCCAATGCCCCTATTTTGGGCCATCTGACGAGAGTGAAGTATCCAGATCCAATGGGTCAAGAATCTTATAAAGATAATAATGGTAATAAGACGAATGATAAGATTAATCCCTAAAAATTTGGCCTGAGGGGCAAGTGATGTGAGCATGCCATCATGAGCAAAGGGCAGGGTGACAGAAAAGACTCGCCATGAGTGCACAAACCTCTTGGAGGGCGATTAGACTCCTTTGGTGTTTAGAAAGGGGCTTTTGTATTATTCCCAATGATACACGAGTTTGGAATGTAATGTCCATGAGCCATGAATAAAAGAGTCGACTCCAGGAAGGATGCCTTGTCCATGCTCAGCATCCTATTACTGGCACAGGTTGTATTACATAGAAATGAACATTACAAAAAACAAAGAAATGATGCAACTTTAACCCATTGGACCCAGATTACAATGCAATCACGTCATGGAAAAACTTGAGTCAAGGGGCAGGTGACATGAACATGCTGCCATCAGGCAAATTGGCCGTGGCCTGGGTAATGCGAACTTGCTGTCATGAGCGAAAGCCAAGGTGACAGAAAATGCACAAATCCAGGAGTGCACAAATTTCTTGAAGTGTGATTTGACTCATTTGGAGCTTTAGCATTATTACCATCAACAAATGAATGTGGAATATAACGTGCATAACCAGTGACTGGAAGAGCGCCAGCTCCAGGGAGGACACCATTTCCATGCTGTGCACTGTATTCCTGGCAACTGTGACCAATGGCACAGGTTGTATTACATAAAACTAAAAATTACAAAAAAATGAGATATATGACACAAATAACCAAATGTCCACATTTTTTTCCCCTTTGCACATAGTTATTTACTACAGAGAGAGATGATATGGAGTCTGTGCAAGGAAAATAAATTATTGCCATCTGTATAAAGCAAATCCAAAGACAACTAAGGACAGTAGAAAATGGCAATAAAGCTAAAAAAGTTTTCACAAAATATCTTTGCAAAGGGGAGGCACAGATTTCTTGTCACCGCTCATGGGTGTTTGTGCGCGACCGGCCTACACACTGGACACCTGGGATGTTGGCCATTTACATAACCCATTGCCCGTGTTTTCGGCACCGTGATTTCTGAGCCGCAACAAGATCCAGTGGATCAATGATGGTTATAGAAATGATTTCTTTCTTTTTTCACTTTTTACTAGAAGATCAACTCGTTGGTGAGAAAACACTTGTGAAGCAATCCATGTGCAAAACATTTCATTTTACGCAAAAATACAGTGGATGTGCATTTACCCAGCATTAATGGCTGAAGATCTTTTAAGATTAAGTTTAACATTTTCCACACCAATGATTTGAAATCACAGCAAGCAATCAAACCCTTTAAAATGAGATTTAAATGTTTTAATAACTTTTATATATAATGCATATACATTTTTGTCTGCAATATAAAACAGTTCTCTGTCATAACTAACCTTATGGCAAATAAAAATCACTGAAGTCCACATACCTGAAGGAATGCTCCAGAAGGCTATACAGGACTCTGCCCACACCAAAGGAAGGCTCAACAACACTTGGGATATATTCTTCCACATGGACCTTCTTCTGTTCTCTCTTAAAGCTAGGTACCATAGCTCTTGTCAACTTGAAGCCATTCAATTCATATTCCCTAAGAATAGAGGATATCATGTCAAAAAAGATAAATACATCTTTCTTAGAAAAATATTAAAAATCAAATTCCCATGATCCTGTATAGACTTTCTTCTGGAAATCCAAACGTAAACTCATCAGGCTAAAGCCATGTGTCCAGATATGTGCTGATACCATGTCTAGGAATAAGAAACAAATCCAGTTCATACCCAGCTTCACTTAGAGCTTTGTCCATCTTCTCAGCCACTTCGTTTGAAAGCGAGGCCAGAGCTTCTTGGACTGCTTTCGCATCCTTCTTGAAAGTCTTTCCAATGATTCCCTTGTCTGGTACAGCTGCAACTGCATCCACAATGCGAGGCTCCTTCAAGGGTCTCTCAACACTTAACCTTACACCTGTAGAAGCAACAGGAAATAAAGTCTCCTTTAAAAATATATAAAGAAACTTATGATAAAACTGAAGAATTTTAATCATATGATGGTACTGCAAAAGCAGTATGGCAGAGGTATTTTGAGACTTGTATAGCTACACAGAAAACTATCCTTACAAGGGGTGTTAAAACATTCAGTAATGAACAGAGCCTTAGGTTATGGAAGGGTTGGTATTTTAGGGTTCAAATTGGTCTCATTCTGATTAATAATGTATTGAATAGTCAATTCCAGAATTCATATGGATTTCATTGTGACATCATGATCTTATTCCAGATGGAGACATCAAAACAAATGCATGGTAACATTGTCTCCCTTCACATTGAAGGTTAAAGAAATGAAGATATCACAAGAAAATTTGGAATTTCAATGACGGTAGTGGCTGGGTGGATACACTGGCATTAGGTTATAGGTGCCACAAACAAAAAATTCAAGGTTACCGCATATAGTGAGGAGTGGGAAGATGATATTTAATTAATTTTGTCCTTTACTTTTCAAGGCAAATGCATCTATGCTTGAGGTGAACCCTTTTTGCAATGCACAGCATCCCAGTTAAATTCGGGCTGTCATGTTGTTTAAAGACTATCCATGTAAGACACCAAATAATGGGTCTACAAGCATGCACTACTGCAAAGAAGCCCAAGTTGACACCATAAAATATGGAGAAAAGGATGGAATATGCTTTGTGATATACAGACAAGCCACAGGCCTTCTTGGATAAAGTAATTTTCTGCAATGAGAAAATATTTTCTTCTGAAGGCACCAACCCTGCGAGAAATGTATGATGTCAACAAAACACCATGTAGGTAGGAACACCACACCCTCCCCTCCTATTTTCAACTTTCGCTCATTTGATTTTGCAAAGAAAAATGTTTGTTTTAATAGAAATGACTTGTAAAACATTTTTACATATGTATACTTACATATCTAATGCTGTGTAATTATTAAACAGATTTAAACCAGAGAACTTGATCACAAGCAGGAGTGGCCAAATTGGGGTGCAAGTGGTGTCAGGGAGTTGACAGATGTCGACTTGGCTGATTTACAGGCAGCAGGTATGTAGGAATCCTTGAGGTTTTCCTCCCAAATTAGGGGTATGGTGTTTCACAAAACAGATCCCTTCTATCTTATTCTGGACAACAGCTCCATCTATATCAGCTGTGCTGTCCAAGATTGTTTTTCTGAACACTGCGATATGATACTTTTGCCATATCCTTCCATATCTGGTTCTCAACCCAAATGAAAATGTGTGGGTAGCCATGTCAAAATACATGCTGCAAGATCACACTTACAATCATGTTGCAGTTGTAAATAATGCCTTGCAAGCATGGGAACATATACAATGTGAGGAAGGCTGTACCTTGACAGCCGAAGAAGTGGCGTTTATTCCTCTACACTTGAAACTGTATTTTGGCAGCAGGGGGTGACAAATATTAAACTTAAATATATTACCAGTATCTTATTTTTCTTGTTCTGATATTAATGAAATATGTCAATAGTCAAGGTAATATAGTAACAATATTGTGCATGAGTAGCACCTATTATATAAATCATTTGACAATGCCTTCAACTTGTCTTCTCCCATATTATAACAACTCAAAAAAAAAAACAAAAAACTAATTAATCTGTGACAAAGTACTATACCATTTAAATTAAATGCACATTTATAGCCTCTCAATTCATATGCACACATATACCCCACATCCCCAGTAAATCGGTAACAGATTGTTGTGTCATGTTCAGAATGTTCAGAATTATTTTCTAACAATAGTTTTCTGTGTTGCTGTACAACAAATAATTCTGACAATGACAAGGGTAACCAAAATTTAATAATTTATAGTCTATATTTAGGAAAACTGAATTTTTCATATATGAATAAGTGAAATGAACTGCTAAAATCCAATCAATATAAGATGTAAGAAGGATATAACTAGAAAAGATAATAAAATATTCTGCTGTATCTTATCTTTAAGGACTAGGCCTAAGTAAGTGGCCTTAGCTTCCTCGAAGCCCTTAAAAGGTAACAAAGAGAAAATGCTGACAGTAAAACATGTAGACAATCTATACAAACCTGATGCTTTAGTATGTTGGCCAAGATCATATGCACTTCTATCAGCACAGCCCACACACTCAATCCAGCCGTATGAAGTAAGGCACTCTGCATCCCAACAGTCACAGGCATAATGTGCCATTTCATTGCTTAGATGCTGTCTGAATCTAAGTTTCTTGGGGTTGATACCAATCTTCAGGAGGTACTGATAAATGCGAGCCATGTAGTAACCAAGAGTCTCATTTGCTACCATGCCCTGAAATATTGGTATGAGAGATAAATGTAATAAATCTCTAAGAATATCCTTCACTAGTAAAAGAAATGGTAGTACTAATCTTAAGAAAAATTCAGCTTCAGTTGCCCATTTCAAATCCTGACAATCAACCTAGTGTTACCTGATAGATGGATATATTCTTTAAGAATTCTAAATCCAGATGCTATTGTTCTCGGCCGTCAGCCATGTGCCTCACATGTGAGACGTAATGCATAATCTCAGTAACATCTGTTATGTCTAAATGGACATTTCCAAGACGATTTCTTAACCACAAGTCATGTCATGAGGTCATATATAGAAGATGTGAAATCATAATTATTTTAATTTACCTGGAGTTGGTGTCATAACGGAAGGAGGGAGTGGGGTAATTATGAGCACTGAGAAAGATAGACAGAAAATCAAAATGGGGAAAAAAAAGTTGAGACTAAGGAGGGAGGAAGGCAGAAAAAGACAGATGGACAGAGGCAGGCAGGTTGACAGACAAACAGATAGATAAATAGATAGACAGAGGCAGGCAGGTACGCAGATAAAATGATGTCATGAAGAGGTACATCATGGAGAGTTACGTCACAAAGTGTCATCATGGAGAGTTACGTGACATAGTGTCATCATGGAGAGTTACGTGACAAAGTGTCATCATGAAGAGTTACGTGACAAAGTTTCATTATGGAGAGTTATGTCACAAAGTGTCATTATGAAGCTCAGGCTGTGATGTCATTACAGTCTCCATATTTACTTTTAAGATATTATAAAATGGAAGTGATGTTGCTTTACAGCTGCCACTTATTTCCACAAAGTAGTAAATGACATCACATGACAATATGTTCCCGCCATCCTGGTCTTCAGCCAAAATTCTTACAAAAGCATATTCCTATCACCTTGGTCTTAATTAAAAAAAAAAAAAAAATCTGTGATCTGATAGTCACACTATCCGGATCCAAGGGGTTAAGTCAGCAAAGGTCATTCTAGATTCTGCATTTTGATACCATGCTCTAGTCACAGATAAATCCATTCAGTACATGTCAGATATGATTCTCAGAGAAGGGGCCATCACATGAAGTGAAATGGTGAGTGTCAGATGAAACTAGAGATCATTCTTGGACATGATGGTATCACTGGCATCAGTATTAGAGAAATATTGAAAATAATTATATAATATCAAAAGCTAAATCATACTACTCATAAAAAAACAGTATCAATAGCCTTAAAACACAGACAGACATAAAGAGAAAGAGACAGAAAAGAATGAAAAAATATGAATAAGAAGTTACTGAGAAGGAAATGGTTAAAGGTTGATGGTTGGAACAAATTAATGTACAAGACATCAAAGGTCATATATCACTATGGTAAAGTACTGTGGCAAAATGTATAAAGAAGAGTTAAAGATTAGGAAAAAATGTGTTTGAGATCAAATATTAAAAGTGTTATAGGATAGTATGGTAGTGAAAAGGGAAAAGAGGGGAGCAAATGAAGTAGAGCAGAGATTAGTAACAGGGGAAGGGGGAAGGGTTAAGGGGGTAGGGTGATTTAAAAGAACTGCAGTGTATCTGTGACTGGGAAAGGAATAAGGATATTGTTCAAGAAAACAGATGGCTGTCGAAGAAGGACAAGGAAAATAATCCAGGAGTGAGTTAGATGTCAAAGATTAGAGAGCATTATAGGATAGTATGATAGCAAAAAGGAAAAAGAGGGGAGCAAAAGAAGTAGAGCAGAGATTAGTAACAGGGGAGGGGTTAAAAGGGTAGGGCGATTGAGTGAATTGCAGTGTATCTGTGACTGGGGAAGGAATGGGACATTGTTCAATGAAAGCAGAGGTGGCTGTTACAGGATGAGGTGAAGCATCCAGGGGATGGAAATGGGAACTGGGGAGGGTGGTGAAATATCAGTATTGGGAGAGCATAGGAGGAAAGGGGTTGGGTGAAACTTGAGGAGGATGGATATTGACAAATACTTTAAAGGTAGAGGGAGTAGGAACAGAAGGATTGGAGGGTGGATGAGGAAGCGGAGTGTTCCCTTGGGTCATCTTTAGAAGTTTTGAAAGTCTTCAAGAGTTTCTGAAGGGGAGTTGGGTGAAGAGAACTGAGAAAGAAGGTGTAGGAGAGGATGTGATGGGAGAAGGTGGAGTGGAATGTTTAGGTTGCCTGGTACAACAAGTAAAGTGAGGAGGAGAGGTAGGTATCAGGGAAGTGGTAGAGATTGGAGTATCTGGATTTAGACTGGAAAAGGAATCTGACTGGGGGAGAGGGGGAGTAGAGGTAGGGTGGTTCAAGGAAGAGGGAAGAGATACTGAAACATCTTAAGAAGATGAGAATAGAGTAGAGTGAAGGACAGTTTTGGAATAAGTAGAAAGAGAAAATCCTCGTCGCCTTGCTTCCTGTTTGGCCTCATGAAGAGGCCTAGCTTAAATCTGAGAACTGTTACCTCACATTCGAGCTTATTATAGGCAGCTCCTTTGGGAGCCACCACAATGGGGACATGTACATGACTGAGCAGAGCAATCTGAATGGTCATGACCAGGTTGGGCACACAGAGGGCAGCAGGCTGTGGTTTGACACTGTTTGGCTGGGTGACCAAAACGCCAACATTTCTGACATTGACAAAGAAGGGACTTACTCTGACCTCTGGGGGGAATAGTGTAGCACTGTATTGCCACTGCATTATAATCAATAAGGCAAGCAAGCAGGTCATTCTCATAGTTTGTCATAGACAAGGCAAGCATTCAGGGAGACAAACAGTTCCAATAAAGTATTAAGAGAGGGGTTAGGTTCAACAGGAATGGGTTTGCCAGTGAGTTCAGTTAGGGCAGACTTTGCATCAGCTTGGGATTCAGATATAACTGTGACAAGGTGTGAACTATCTGAAAGACTGCAAAAGGCAACTTTGCCTTCTTGTTTTTGGAGACATTGTAGAAAAAGAAGGGTATTCTCAGACTAAGGGGCTGTAGGGGGAATCACAAAGAATTGATCCCACTTGGCTGGGCCAAAGAGAACTCAAAAAGGTTTGCAGAGTTGGAGGCAGTATGAGGGCAGGAGGTAGATGGGCTGGTGTGAAGTGGAGTAGTTCTGTTGGGGGGAGGACAATAAGAATGAATAATAGTAATAAGGGAAGAGGGGGTGGACATTGAAGAAGACTGTGCAGTAGGAGATGGAGAGGAGAATGCTGGGAGAGAGGAATGGGTGCATTCTGGAGGTTGAATAATAACCTGAGTGGGTGGTTTGGAATGGACAGAGTTGCCAGAAAACATCTAGGAGGGGGTATTAGTACCAGTGGTAAGAGCTATGGTCAAATGAGGGACAGGAGTTGGAAAACCAACAAAATCAAATTCAAATAGGATATTTGATGTATGAGTAAGCCTGAATAAAATGGAGAAAAGAAACAGTCATAAGGGGTAAGAGCTAGGCAAGTAATCAAGGGAATACTGTGCCAATGGCTTCTGCAGGCCATTCATGACTGACACAAAGCCAGCCTTTCATCCTATCAGCATGGCTATCACCTTAGGAATAAGACAGAAGAAGATATGGAAGATATGGAAAATGAATGGGGGAGAAGGAAAGACCATGCAAAATTAGTTGAGGCGAAGGCTGTAGCCCAAGGTAGGGGCGATCCCCTACATTGGGCTCCATCATAAATAGTAAGAGTTTAAAAATAAACACTCTACACCTTCCCAGTTCAGTCTGGTGTTCAGATATATTGAAATTATCTAATCATACATCAGTTTGAATATCTTTATCGATTTTATGATTTTAAAAGCCCTGAAAAATGCTGTCACTATGAGACTCCTCGATTGCACTTATAACCTCTCAGCTGCATATTGACACCACTACTTAGTTACCAGCTCAGGAATTTCCTCTATTGCAATAAAGTGTTTGCCTACCACTTGTTTTCACTTCATTTTGAGCATAATTCACTTGTTCAGACTAAGGTTTAAGTTGGTAATACTGATGTCTTAATGTTCTTTCCATAACCATTCAGCAAACTAGCAGTTACTCATTGTTTAATTTCTATGTAAAATGACTCAGTTGAGTAGAGTCTTCTAGTGTGTGTGCTCATCCCAGGCATAAATAAGGCTTACTAAGGATACATCCAAATCATGTATATGTATGTGTGTGTATGTATGAATATATATATATATAATATATATTATATATATATATATATTATATATAATATACATAAATATATATATATATATAATATATATAATATGTATAATAATATATATATATATATATATATATATATATGTATATATATATATATATATATATATATATATATAAATATATATATATATATGTGTACTATATATATATATATAATATATAATATATATTAATTGCATTATAATATAGTTACTATAATATATATTATATATAATATATCGTATTATATTCAGAAAATGTATTATATATATATCATAATGTATTATATAGTGTTATGTATTATATATATATATAGTAAATATATAGAATATACAGTATATATATGCTACAACAATAAATTCTATATCTATTGATAATATCTATATATATATCTACACTACATGCAGCAATTATAGATATATGTAGTAATATATATATACTATAATCATCAAAATATATAACATATATAATATTAATAATTTCGATTATAAATAATATACTGATATATATATACTACCG